CTATGATAATATAGACGTTTAAAACAAAAAAAAAATGTAGGTGGAAGAATCACATTAGAAAATACATTTGAGAGTACCGTAATTATAGACCAACTTGAAGGATGTTTGAGTAATTATACCATGACCAAACCTAAAAAGGTAAAGGACAGAACAGAAGTGAGTATAGATGAAAAGTCGGATCTAGATTTTGCCGAACCTTCTCTTCTTCGTTTTCCCCTTTCAAAGATGAAATCAAATTCTCGAATTTTTGTGCCTTCCAATAGCGTTTGCTCATATCTCCTGCGATCTGCTCCTGGAAAGCGATCATCGAAGGCTTTTCTCAGGCGGATTAGATTTTAATTTTCGATCATATGCGGGGTAGTGTTTCTTCTCTAGCTATTGGTAATTTCATATTCAGTTTTGGTCATAATTGAATCAAATGCTTCTTGCTAATCCTCTCAGACAACAAGAAACTTTATTCTTGCATTTTGTAGGACTCCCCTCTCAGCAATTATGTAATGTTTACTTGCAATTACATTCTTCCTAGGTTATAATACCTCCATCTTTTCTTAGAGGAACCAGGATGTGTCGGATCCGTACAGAAAAACTTGGTTGAGTCTAGAGAAGCTTGGATTGCGTGTATATATATGTGAGTTTCCACTCTCCGATTACATTATATCCTCACCCAAATAATGATGTGGTTTCGTAGCTCAATATCACTTCTAATAAGCTTGCCTCTGTGGCAACAGGTTAATTTGCACAGTAGGTATGTTGCTTCCACCTCCAGGATCGAAGCAAAACTCAGTTGGGTGAGTTTCATAGCGAACATTTCTTATGCTTCATTGTTGTATTAAACATCATGAGCTTGTGTCTTGTGTGCTAGTGTCAATTGGAGACAATGGATAGTGGAAATGTGTTTTCTTAGAGCTGCATGACATTCTGAGCAGAGTGCTGATTTAGATCCCTTGATCATAGAGTAAAATATGAGGTACATATCAACAAGTTTTCTTCTTTTTGCTTTTTGATCAAAAGTCAATAGGCATACAATGTATGTGTTGATGCAAACAGTTAAGTAAGTGTCATTTTTCTTCATCTCTACAGGGACGTTATGTGTATGGTGACAAGTATCTTGATTCTCTGGCGGGTCTTTGGTGTATCCTTTTATGACCTGGATGTTTCTCTTTGTGCGGTTTGGTTGTCCTGGATATTTTGTCAAAGTGTTGGCATTATTCTGACACTCAATGATAATACGCAAAATCTGACCCTTAGGTGTCTCAAGTACCCTTTTATTGTGCAGTTGAGCAATTAAACTCCTTGCTGTTTTAACAAGCAAACATTCCATAAACACAATAGACAAGGTACTACATTCGATAAGCTCACTCTGTTGTGAGGGATGAAAAGGTAATGGACAAGGGTCCCGAATTGGTGTTCACTCCTCCTGATTGTCCTACGGCGGAAGGAACCGCCTGCCACATTCAAGCGTGCTTCCATGTAGTTGAACGCCACCTGACCATTCACTTTCAAGGTATCCGATCTACTCATTCTCCCTCCTTGTCCAGTTGGAATCCACTGGTTCTGATCTACGTATTCATTGCAGTCTCGTCGGTAGAGGCCCTGGATAAGCGGAGCTACAGGAACAGGTGAATCTGGCAGATTTCCAACAAGTACCATGAGCTTTTGTATCTCTCTTCCAAAGAGGAACCGCTGTCTTGAAACCTGCAAGATTTGATTGAGGGACGCTGCTCCTGCAAAATCACATCCCATATCCCTAAATTTTTAGTATATCCGCACAAATCCGGAATCAAAGGATTTCCTAATTCGATATCATCCCTAAGTTTTAGTATATTGACATAAAATCCGAAATCTAGGTTTCCTAATCCGACACAATATCCGAAATCAAAGGGTTTACTAATACGACATCCTTAAATTTTTGACATAAATCCGAAATCTGTGCTAATCCGTAAGATCCTAAATAGATATTTCCTTTATTTGACAAATCAATCGGTTCTTTCCTTTATCGACAAAATTAATCGAGTCTTACCTTCGCCTTGGAAGACAATGTCCTGGATGTTCATTATTTTCTCGAGAGCAAATTCTCTTGAGAGAAAGCAAGCTGTAGCGAGTGTTGTTTACTGTAGGGATTTGCTGATGCGTGTTTTATACATGTGGACTTAGTGGTAAATCTAATAATTTATTTAATTAGGGATTAAAAAGGCAAAGAAAGAGAGAGGTTGTACGCGTGCCGCCTGGCACTCCGGTATCCGGGATCCGATCCGGTATCCGTTCGGATCCGCTCCGAAAATTAGGATATCCGGGGAGTTCGGATCCGGATAAGGATAGTAAAATCTAAGATCCGTGAAAAGAGGATCCGGATCCGGACGCAT